ACACTGACAGGCAAAACTATACAAGGGCGAGCAATTGCTCAAGCCCCTTCCGCCTCGCCGGATGTGGAGTTGGATGCCGATGAAGTTCAAGCCACAAGAAAGCTAATTCCTACGGCGAGAGAATTGGTCTCCCCTCAAAGGCACCGGCGCGTGGTTGCGCAAAAAGTAATCCACCCCCTTATCCTTGACCGCACTTTCCAATTGGGGCCACCAACTCAATGTGTGGGACTTGTATACACAAATCGTAAAGATGTTGGCGCGTGCAGCCTCGTCGCAGACGTCTTGACGATCGTCAAGATGTATGTTTGCGCCGCTAGATGTAAGGACGGGTGTCTTGCCCCCAGGACCCACCGGGTCGTTAACTATAGTCACTGACCTAAATGGAAGGCCTTGTGACCTACAGAACTCCGCCAGATTGTTGGCGTCTTCTTCCGTTTGGTGGCCACGGGCTACGCCGGAGAAAGACACAATGTGGAACTCGATCCTGCCCTGTGCAAGCTGTACAAGGTTCACGAACTTATCCACAATAGAACGATCAAACACACCAAGGGCGTTTCTAGCGCAATCGAGGGTGTCGTGCCAATCGAAGAACACGACTAGATTATTGCCACCTACACCTTGCTCTTGGCGAGCTCGGATTAAAGGGCCTAAATCTATTCTACCCCCTGGCGCGCGAAACGCAGCACCTGCCTTACCGCTAGTAGGGACGGATGCTGTTGATGTAGAAGTCGCCTTAGGTGGTCGCGGAGGTGGTGTTGGAGGTGTCGACACTGGTGTCGCAGGTGGACTAGGTTTTGGGGATGCAGTTTTATGGGCTTTTGGGACAGGTCTTTCTGGCCTAGGTGGAACAACGATAGGAGGCTGCTTTGGAGGTGGCTTCACCTTATTGTGCTTCCTCTTCTGTTTTTCCGCCTGGTTATAGGCCTCAAGTGCTTGGCGATGCTTGCGATCTGCGAGCGAATCTACGTGTCGCTCCCAAGCCCTGTCTTGATGCTCCTTGGAGCGGGCCCAAGCTGCGTTAAGTTCCTCCTCTGTGGGCTCTGGAGGATCAGGGTCTACACCTGGCTCGTAAGCTTGGCCAACAGTTACGGAGTAGTTATAGGGAGGTCTAGGAGGAGCCTTATACTTCTTTTTGATTGGAGGACCTCCTTGGGGCGCACGTGCAGCCCCTTCCCGCCAGGGTGGAACTGCTGATGCGGACCTACTTGCTGCACTAACTCCGGGTGGAGGCGGCTTAACTCTAGCTGGCTGTGACGATGATCTTGGTGGTGGTGAGCCTATAGATTTTGGAGGAGTCTTAGGTGTTGGGATATCAGGTACAAAAACTTGGGCTTTGGTGCCGTCTCGAAAGATTTGGGTTTGGATTGTACCTGAAACTCTTGTTGAAGAAGTTGTTACGGCAACTGGAGCCTCTTCCTCAGCTGTTGTGTCCCTGTGACGAGATCTAGAACGTTCAGCACCTTCTGCACTGGGTGACAAAAACCTACTAACACTACCTCTAGTAGTTGGAGCTTTCGGCGATGCCTGCGATGGAGTGCTGGGTTCTTGAGGCGCTAATGGAGCAGCCCCTTCCTCAACTTCTACTTCAACCTCAACCTCCTCCTCGCCCTCGGGAGGGGCTTCAGGAGGGTCAGATGAGTGATCCTCTTCCTCTTCGCCTTCTGGTTCACCTTCAAAGGGATCTGGGTCCTCGTCCGGTGCCTCGGGTTCAGATGGAGGCCCACCTGGCGCAGCGGCAGTTGATGTTGGTTCGGGTTGAGGAATTGATCTACGTCGAGATTGGTAAACCTGTCTACGCCCAGAAGAAGTTGTTGTAACAATAGCCCTTCTTTTTGGTGGAGGAACTGTAGTTTCTTCTTCTTCAACCCCTTCTACAGCTTCTGAATCAACGGCAACTAGGCCTTCAGGTTCTGAGATCGGGATTACCTGGGTATTATGGGAGGATACCAATGCAGTGTTGCTACCAACCAAAGACGGATCACGCCAAACTTCGTCAGCAAGTTCGTGGGGGTCAACGGATGATGTAGCAGTGCCAGGAATGGCAACAGGAACAGTTGTGGGTTCCCTACCTGCAGAGCCGGACGGCTTTGAGATACGCACCCAAGTGCCCTCAGAGTTTATTATCACGGGTGGATAATTACTATCAGCGGGTCTTAGGGCTATTGGTCGGGAACTAAGACTAGGGGTACCCAAGTTACCACCCCTTGCACGGCGCAACACCTCAGTGTCCTGATCTGCAAAAGAACCGTCAGCTCTCGGGGTGAGAGTGGCTGGAACCCGTGATCTAGATCGGCTCACTGGCTTTGGCGCAGCAGGTGCTGACGCAGCTGGGGTCTTATCGATGTTACCACCTTTAACTGTTCGGGCAGGGGGTGTGCCAGCTCTCTCACGTGGTCTTCCACGCTCAGCCCTATCCAAATCAGCCGCCGATGGCGGTGGATGAGATGGTGGCGGAGGGATCGCTGTTGCAGCCCTTTCTCCTTTTGGCGTTGCAGCTCTTGGCGGCCGCTTTGGAGGAGGTCCTAAAGTTTGGTGGAAATCTCGATGTGCAGGCACGGATGGTGCTGGGTAACTAGGTGGGGATCCTAATCTTTTTAAAGGATTATCCTTAGAGGGCTTAGCAACTTTGGGGTCCGATGCTTTAGGCTCTGCCGGTTCTGGCACGGATGCTTTGCCGGATGCTTTTGGATCGGATGCTTGCTCAGCCTCTTCAGGTTTAGGGCGCTTTTCAGCAGCCCCTCCCGTGGCACGTGGCGGCGGAACACTGGCTACGGACTCTGAAACTTTCGGAGCGGATTGATGGCCTACAGGTCGAAGGGATGGCACCCACGGCGGTGGATGACTGGGTTCCTTAGGTTCAGACACTGGCTTAGGCCTAGCTTTAGCCTTTTGTGGGCCCCTTGGTGATGGAGTGTGGGTTTCCTCAGAGGAACTAACACCCCTATCTACTGCTGGGTCAACACCTAATGCTGTAGCTTGCTCGGATCCAGATGGTAGTTCAGTATTTTGGGTAAACACGCTAGCTTTGGCTTTTGCCTTACCTTTTGGTTGTGGACCCCTATAGGTATCGTAGTCGTCCCAAACGGATCTAGGTGGGTCTGGATCCCCAAAAGCTTGCAAGTTAATGTGATCCCTATCAGGTAGCACAGTGTTTGCAGCAGTTTCTGGAGCAAGATGCAATTCACCTCTTCGATATCCGTTGGTAAAAACCCAATTTCTATAAGGAGCAAAGGTATTAGCAAGATGGACTAAGATTTGGTTTAGCGTACAATGATTGTAGAGGACTCTAAAGACACGGACAGTCCAAATCAGTTCAGCGGATGCTTCTGAGTGGTGGACGTACCTGAGCCAAAATTCTGCCTCGTTCCAAAGAAAGTCAGCTAGTTTATCAAAGTCGGATTGCCAACGCTGTATAAGCCTTTTGGTTTGGGCTTTCTTCCCGCCTTTGGTTCCACGTACACGGGGACCTCTGGACGGTCCTGCAGGAGAATGGCCTGTTTGGACGTGCCCAGTTGTTGAGGCGCCTGCGGCAGCCCCTTCCTGCTCAAGAAACGGCGATGTTGGGGGCGGTGGGACTTCGTCCTCTTCCGCTGTCCCTCCAAGGTGTTGGACGTATACCGGAGCAAATGTCGAATTAGGATCAGGCTCAACTACGGATGGAGAGCTTCCTACAATCGGATCTGCGGCGGAGTCTGCGACCTCAGCACTAGTTTCCTGATCAGGGTTATTGGAAAAATCAGTTTCTTCTTTTGTAATTAGATTTTCGGGGTTATCACCTTCGAGATTATTTTCTGCTTCGATTGGTTCGGATGCCTCAAGCTGTTCGGCTGGCTCGGCGGTGGGATCGAAGTCGGCCTCAAGTGCTTCAAACAACTGTTCAGTAGTGACCACTTCCTCCGGTTTTGGATCCAAAAGGGACAGTGCGTCAAACTTCAAGATGTCAAAGTCCTCGTCGGCGTCGTCCTGTAGGGCGCTAGACGCAGCCCCTCCCACTTCAAAACCAGCTGACGGCACGGGCGGGTCCTCAGAGGCGTCTGCCCAGTTGAACCCGGTACTTCCTTCAACAGTGACTTCAGCGCTTTCAGCAGCTTCCGCCTCTGCTTCCGGGTTCCCTTCGGCAACCGGTTCGGAGGCGCTCAAAGCAGCCCCCTCCAACAGACCCTCTGGTACCATAAAATTGTGAAACAGGAAATCAGCGAAAAATGACAGGCAGTGAACGAAGTTGCGTGGGGCCTAAGTTACCGACAAAGGAGGTTAAGACTTTCCCAGCAAAGGAACACTAAGCCAATACGGCTGATAACCAGAGAAACAGGGGGGAAAACAACCAATTAACCTCCCATGTCCCAGAGATCATTACAAGCCGCTACTTTTGTGCTCGCGACTTGAGCCAAGGTAATTGCATGGGCTACTATGTTGGACCCACTGGTTAAAAGGGGAACAACAATTCCTATGCTATACAAGGGCTCTACCTACAGCTAACGCTTCTAGCTACAGGTTGTCATTAAGATTGTGATGACTGTACAATCTATTAGAGTGTTGGTGTCATAGCTACAGTATGGAGTGAGCAAATACTAGTATATACAGTGGTGGTATAGGGGTCGTAATATTTCTACTGTTAATACCCATAATATCCCTAATCTCCCCATTATAAATATATTCGATCCGTATTCATTGTATCGACATTACCCGTTGAATCCTCACCATTCCCCATGCCATTCCAATGACAAGAACCGACCTGGTCCGACCTGGTTCCCATTCGGGTTGCTTTCCAGCTCCCCATTCTCTCCCGGCGAAGCTAAGGGAATAGCGAACCTATGGACCTATTATCCCCACTGAACCCCAAACCATTCCCATAATCAGAAGGGAACATCTCAAGGAAACCATAGGAAACCATAGGAAACCATAGGAAACCATAGGAAACCTCTATATTTCTATAGATAATTTGTAGATGTTCCAACCGAAAAACCCGCCAGTAGCAAGTCGAATCTCCGGCCAGTCGCTGCTCTCCAGTGACATCGATCTCCAGCAGATGTGCAGCGAAGCTGCTATCTGCGACAGCAACGTTGCGGATAAGTTGGAGATGTTGGAGACATATCTGATGATCGGAAACTATGGTTAAACTATCTGTATAATACTGTACTGTATATATAACTAAATATACATATATATATATATACATAATGGAAACTATGTGTATAATACTGTACTGTATATTATATATAACTATGTAATTAAAAAATACTTGTCTGATGCAACATTGAAAACGTATTCCACCAAGAAAAAAAAATTGAATAATCCGAACAAGTAGGTTTTCATGGGGATATAATGGAACACAATGGTACATGATGGGATATTATGGGATATTATTGGATAGGTGATATATCTGGGTTTGTCTCAAAAGGCGAGCATTTAACATCATTTAACCAAACAAGCAATCTGCATAGAACAAATCATTGAAAACAATGATAAACATTGATAAACCATGAAATGTGGAGGTCTTTCAAAGAATTCGGAAATGCCAAATCAATTAATTTATCATAATGTCCCCCTTAAAAAATTGCCATATTTTAAGGCATCCCCGCTGCTGTTGAGACAAGCCTTGCTGTTGAGACAGGATTTCAACAGATCAAGGTGGATGAGATCCGATCAAGGGGTTGGAATGTGACAGTTCTGTGCTGTTGATCCAATTGTACCTATATGGCTCATTCATAGATGATTTATGATCATATAATATATATATATAACTATTACAAACGGTAATTTGGCATAGCTACACTACACGTTAAATTACCAGAGGGCAAAACCTTTTGGAATCGCAAGGGTGGTCCTCAATTGCAAAGCGATTTCAATCTCACACCGGAGATAGACCCACTTTACATGGAAATCTACCCGATGGATCCCGGTCATTTTTTACAGACTGGAAGCCATGGACCCAAATGGGTCGACAGTCATCTCCATGGCGATAAATCACCGGAGGGATCGTTGGGATCCCCTTTTTTGGATCGGTGATTTTTTTTGGTCCCAAAAAACTCCAAGAAATTCCGCACTGTCGCGGACAGGAGAGCCTATGAGTTCCTTGTATTCGTTGTGACACTCGGTGTACTCCAGCTTGTTCTCTTCCTGGATTCTGTGGATGAACCAAATTACAGGTACAGGAAGCCCAACACTGGAAAATGTCTATACCATGAGTATTGTTCAAGAGCAAAGATGGTACCAGTTTCCTACTAACCATCTAATTAATGCATGTTATATCATCGTATATCATCGTCAATGGTGGCATGTTGGGTCAAAATCGCGGGCACACAGAAACCACCCAACCTCATCCTCGAAGATAATGCAGCGCTCATCCACGAATTGTGCGATGGGAGCCACCCACGAAGGAGATCTGCGATGGACAGGTCGCAATTGCGTGGAGTTCCCAGGATGACCTAAAACTATCCTAAAATGGCACGCTTGAGAATATTATACACTGAATTGCTTGAAACTGTCTTCAAATTGTGACTGTCTTAGAGTGCTGCTGGATGGTAGAGCTCAAAGCTCAGCTAGGTTAAGATGCTAACGTTCAACACACCTTTTCTCCAATTGCATTGAGCAGCTGGATGTCACGCTTGGAAAAAGCTCCCAAGTGAGAGCGCGTGAAACTGGTACAGCTACATCCGCTGTGGCTCAGCGAGAAAATGGCAGTGTTCCAATCTGAAGCAATTAGTGGGTTCGGTCGCTGAGCCGAAAATCGGAATAAAAAATGGTTGCGTTTCTGTACCAAAGGGCAGCTCAAAGCATAGGACCTCAACTGGAACTAGTTTATTCATGTTTGTTCCTCTTTTGAGATGTTTTAAAGCCGCGGATAGTATCTCCATATGTAGGACGTACAACTGGAGGGTCATCCCATTCAGTAACCAATCAGCAAGTATGATCATAACTCCTTCAAACTGAAATAACCATGCTTAGGTGACATGCGAAACATTGTCATCATTGATCATCTATGGGTCCAAAGGCTTAAGCTCTACCCACATTTCTTTTTTGGGCGACAACTTTTAAAAACAACGTGTCGCGACACTACGCCGCTTTGCGCTCGTCGGTGGCACCAGCATCCTGCAAAGGAGGGGCAGCTTGAGCCTTTCATAGCTCAAATGGTGATTGGGTGAAGGGAAACACCTCTGCTCAGTGCTAAAATCATCAATGCTGTCCTATTAAATGTCCATCAAACCAATCAAGTGAATCTTGAAACAAGTTTTTTTTTTTGCTGGGCTTAAAACTGGTAAGTAAAACTGTTCTTAGAGGAACTGGGCATACATGAAATTAAACGGAAGAAAAACCTGGAAATGCAAAAGTTGAACATGGAAAGTAAAATGATTATAGTGGGACAATGGAACCTTCTTTGACGTGCAGTTCCTTGTAGTATGTCTTTCCATATCTTTCTCATCTTTGCAGCCCCCAAACTCCATCGGTTTACCATGGTTTATCATCATCTTCCCTATTGTGAAATGCCATGCGATCGCCCATTCTGAGACAAACCCATACGTTATATATATAATATATACATAATATATATATATAATATATAATATCTATATTTATATAACATATATATATATATACACATTATGTGTATATATATATATATATCATATATGCATAAGTCAAATTGGGCAGAATTACGGATTCTTCTCCCCCAAAATGGAGCAACTTTTCTGTGCACCTCAGCAGGCACAGTTTCGGCGGCTCCAAAGTTGGAGATCCGGTCATCGGACATCCTGAGGCAAGCGCAACGGCGGCACGGTACAACTGTGGACACCGACTACGGCAAAGATCGGTTTAAACAAATGGAAGATTTAACCAGCCAAAAAGGTGGTGGATGTTCTCAAGTTCAACAAGAAACGAGGATTATATATATATACATATGTATATGTATACAATTACTAGATAATAATATATATATAACTTATGTAACCAAGAGAATGTGGATTCTTGAATAATGATTGGCCAATGATGTCCTCAAGTGGGTGGGTTTGGGCCAGCATGGTACGCATTGAGCCCCATGAAACAGTAGAGAAGAAGGACATGCCAGCCGCCAGCCCTCGCAAAAATGTGGATGTGGATGAGGTTAGCACGTCGTCCTCCTGACTCACACCGATACATCTCAACTATAAGTTTACTGCCAGCTACTTAGAAAGATCCCAAAAATGATGGCACGGTTTCTTTTCTGACATTTTCCAAACATCATATTTCATATATATATACAGTATATACGTATATATATTCCACCAGAATTCATCCCATCAAATGGTCACGCTCAGCGTCATGTTCAGCTCCGGAGCCAACAGCTTGGTGTACCGGTCGAAGTACAAGGACTGCAAAGCGAGGGAAAAGTCATGGCTTTAGCGGCTAAAACCTGTTGAAACCATGTGATGTTTCAGGTTTTTCCCACGAAATAGATTTACAGTAATAGGGGGGTGTCCTGCAACATGTTCCCTTAGATCAATCCAATGAAAGATTTGATGGATGATGGATGGTTGTTTTCTAACCAGTGTTCGGTGAATGGTACAACCGCTGGAAGTTTTTTTGTTCAGTTCAATCTGAGGCTGGCAGATGTTGGCATTGTGAGTGACTGACTGTCACCGCTGCAACTATGCAGCTACATATGTACTAGAGATATCAGATACTCAGATACTTCTAGAGGGAAAAGAACATGGGGAAATGGAAATGATCTGAAATTTTTAGCCAAACAACATCCATCACATCCTAACCACATCTTACAACAACTGTTCTACCTATTTGAGCGTCAAAACCTGGTTGCGAAATGTTGGGAACTGGTTCTACTGGTTTGTTCATAGCTATTCTAATAACCCATAGGATCCATGTATGCTATATATGGTAACATTTACCATCAATATACCCCCAATGTTAGCATATTTACCAGACATGGATCCTATGGGTTCTAATAATGAATTGTAATGATGCCTTTTCAACAGGTTACGCATCGAAACCCAATATTGACGCCCCGGAACCTGCTTAATGAGGAGCCCAAATTCCCGCGGCAGCTTCAGGCCATTGTTCCCCGCCACCTGAGACCGCTGTGCTGATGGAAGATCTAAGATATCGATACCCTCTGGCAAATCAACATATATAATATATATATATATATAGCTATGGGAAATCAGCATTTTAATAGGAAAATCGTCTGTAAATTGTCCATCTGCCACAGCTATGTTAGTTTACTGGAGGATAAATATGGGGGTTCCCAAAATCCGAATACCCCCAAACCATTGGTTTCCCTACTGAAAATGACCCATAAATGAAAAGCTTGGGGTCCTCTAGTTTAAACACACCCATATATTGCAACTGGATAGAAGATTTGTTGAAACAAAGATCCACAATCTTGGATATATCATGCAGTCTGAAATAGATAGAACAGTTTTTTTATAACATCAAGAAGTGGAAGTTTATGGAAAACGAACCGAAAAAGAAGACGAAAAGAAGACGAATGACCCCTGAGGCCCTGCTTCTACTTCCAGACCACCGTGAAATCCTATGGGAACATCATCTTCCACAATCGCCACTTAAATTGGTGCATGAAGTTCCCTCCGGTGACAAGCCCCCACAAGTGAACAAACCATGTCAAACCCCACATTAAAGCCATATGAAACCCATATGAAGCCCATTATGTATCTCTCTCTCTATATATATATGTATATATATATATATTTAGGATCTTTTCTCCAGCATATCCCCATGCCATGCCACTACAGTCCATCCAATTACATGCCATATGAGTCTGAAAACTGGCTAACCCAAAAATTGCATAAAATTGCGTGGTTTAAAATTTACAGCCTGATGTTCTCTCTTAAACCGCCAGAAATTGGGGGTATAGCCCATTTTCGGACAACATGGACAAACCCATCTCATGCCATGTCTAGTAATAATATATCATTAAATATCACATTTTGATAAATGATTATAAATATCGGCAGTCTGAGGGAACTCACGGAAAGATACGGAAAACACAATATGTTGGGGGTACATTAATCCATATTAATCCATCCAGCACCACTAATTCCCGGAAACTTCACACCAGGGCCCCAGCCTGTGCGATGTCCAAAACGATGTCCTGAATCTGCGACTCGTCCACGGTGGCATCCGTAGCATTCTCCAGGGATCCTCCTGTGGCTCAAGGAGCTACAAAGTTCATCAGCGGTTATGACCAACAAGAAGGGCTTAAACGGGTTAAACCATCAACAATTGGTTTTAAATTGGTTCCATGGATCAGTTTGAATCCCTATCAACCATCAAACAATTGAGACTTGACAAGTGTCGGAGAATGGATCTGTAAACTTACGTAGACATAGCCTTTTCATCCAGAAACACCACGAGGGTAGCGTCCTAAGCGAGAGATCAGCTGCTCAATATCTGCCGCGAAGGCATCTTCATCCACCTCACGGCACGCTCCGCTCTTCCACGACTCAAAAGGGGGTGTGGGAGTAAAATGACCCCTTTCAACACCCAACTGCCAAGAGTAAACCATTTTAAGGTGATATTATACAATATCTTATCTATATATTTGAACATCTTGAAATTTGAGCTGCACCGACCATTCTGCGCTTGACATACCAAGAGCCACGAGAATGATTACCTAGATATGTTTCAAGACATTCTGGCCAACGCAGCTGACTTTGAGCCATTGATCCATTTCCTCTGAAAAGCAGCACAGTATTCACAGTGCCCTGAGATCTTGAATTGGCAAAATCACACAATGCATTCCAGTGACAAAAATCTATAAATAATCAATCAAGCTTCTCCAGAATACACGATGCCCAGCAAAAAATAATCTTGGCACAGTATGGCTAAAACTCAAACTACTTCCTCAACTCTGCAAGGTGTTACGCCAGTTTCAGTCGGAAAAAAATCCGACTTCAACTTTCAACCTTAAATCATCACCTATCATCTATCCGGGTACATTATAATATTTCACTGACCTGAAACTTGCGGCCATTTTGGGATGATTCCCCTAAAATAAACCATGATTCCAGAGCTCGGTCGCAGTGAGGTCGTTATAATTTACCCAGATATTTATTATATATATATAATTAATTAATATAATCAATGTAACTCATCATAAATCCCAATGAGTATATTATAGTATATTTGTATAATAGATAATATACCATCTGGTTATTTAACATAGCCATGGAAAGATCCACCACTTTTAATAGGTAAACCATCTATTTCGATTAGGGCCATCGAAAAACCATGGCGAACTGTTGGTCATAACCAGAGGGTACTATAATATTTTTATATGATATAAGTAGGGATATTATGACCAATCTAAGGTTAGCCATGTTTGGGAGCTCTCACTTTAGAAGTAATATACTATAAATGATCCACATAAATATACTATGGGGATTGAGTATATTATGTCATACAACAAAAAATGATCCCCATGAATATCCACGTAAATATACTCAATCCCCATTATAATGATTACTATGATAGATAGTGGATCATTATATTACTTCTATTATTAGATAATTATAATATGATCATTAGATAGTGGATCATTATATTACATGATATATAATAATTATACACATGATATATAATAATATATATTACATTATATACTATAGATACACATATTGTAATTATCTAATGATCCACTTAATCCCCATGTTTGATCCCCATCTTTGATCCCGCCACTGGGACCTGTCCAATGGTGGCCCCCATGGAGATCAAGGCATTGGCCATGCCGCGGGCATCGCTGTCCTTGGAAAAAAATATGGAGAGTCATTGGAGATATCAATAGTTACCCTCAGTGAATAGTGGTAATTTAATCCAATTTACATCAATTTACTAATACAAAATATTTGGTTAGTATAGTACCCTCTGGTAAATAGTTATTGGAACTAACAAATTGACTATCCAATAGTAACTATCAATAAATGTGACTATCCAATACTAACTAACAATTTATAGTTATTGGAAAAACAAATTGACTATCAATAATTAATGGATATTAACAGAAATCATGTACCAACTATGAATAGTACCAATAGAAAAATAATGGTACATATCAATAACTATAACATGTACCAACTAAAATGTACCAACCGATTTAATGCGGATATTGATGGAAAATTCCATTGAATGGACAATGGCGATGGTGATGCTATGAATTCACCAATCTTTAATGGAAAATGAACTATCCAACGACGGAAAAATGATCCTAATGGGATTAACCTTTGGAGATATCAATAGTTAATGAAAAAATCATCACTATCGATAAAATGAATAAAATGATGATAAAATGAGATATATTAAACAGGATTGTTAATGGATAATAAGCTATAATGGGATTTTATCATTGTTTCCCATTATTAATATATTTACCATCTATGGGAAACAATGATAATATTATGATGAATGGAAAATATTTGAAAACCCATTCATAGATAGTGAACATATTAGGATAGTGATGGGGAAATATGTCAAATATGTTTTTCATGAGAATTGGATAGTGATTGATGATTGGTAAAATATTTTAAAATATGAATTCCTATGAAATTCCTTTGAATTTCCTCTGGATTTTCCAGAAAAGAATCGAAAAGTTTGGCCGACTTGGAATGGTTGTTATATCTGTATCTACAATATCTTCACTAGTTGCACCAGTTGATAGCTGGTTTATCCCATTATTTATAGGGTTTCAACCATCCAAGGTGGTGCAGGATTTCGCAACCACCCACAGTAGTAGCAGCAAACCTCAAAGCTGGGACCCCCAAACGGCCAGCGCTGCATTCAGCTTGTCAATGCCAGTGGCCATCTGGGGGCTTAATCGACCTGGAGTTGGGCTGGGCAGGTTTTGTATCTGATGCTGGGGAATCTTACTGGTGCTAAACGCAGGGAATGAGGGAATGATCCAGAATCACTAGTAATAATCATCCCATTCCCCCATTCCCATCCATTCCCTACTAAGCACCAGTAAGGAATTGATGCAAGAAAAAGTGGAATTTACATTGATTTCGCAGGAAACAATGTGGATTTGCTGTAAATGAATCAATTTAACAATGACAAACAAATACTGCAAAAACAAGGGTTGAACCAAAAACTCAAAATGATGATTTAACCGGCAAAAATGGTGATTTAACCTTGTGACCAGCATTTCACGGTGCTTCAATATGATGCAACCGTATCGGGATATACAGCTATGGGTTTGTCTGAATTCACGGGGAAATGATCCCTCATCTCTGGCAGCTCTAATTGGGCAAATGAGGTGTCTTAGCCACGCATTTTTTTGATTCCAGTTTGTGAGAATTAAATAAATACACACATATTCTCAAGAAGCTGAACTTGCAGAAGGTTATAAGTCTTCATAAGTATTGTACAATCAACAAGAATCTGACTGTTGGCTCATACATACCCACAGTCGTTGCATGGTTGCCCGGCTGCCCCCCTAGATTCAACCTAGAACGCCCAAAAAAAATGATTGTCGGATAGTCTTATCATTTGAAATGACCAACTTTGATGTTCTATTAGATTCTATCAGTTCTACAGGGGTTGGTAAATAATGTCCTAATTGAACATCACCCAACTACTGGGAATATAATCTCCAACAAACAGATACTTTTTCAAGTGATCTTCAAAATCTCCCCCAAAACAGGACATCTACCGACCCCTGTTCTATCTGCATCTTGAAACAAAAAGCCCAGCCTACAATGCCAAAGTCGATGAAACCCACCCGTCCGTCCTGGGCATGGCCACAAATTTAGTGGCATCACCTGAATCCCCAGTAAAATGGAGCTATCCCAAAATAGATGGTTTATCATGGAAAAACGATGGAAAACAATGGATGATTTGGGGGTCCCCCATTTTAGGAAACCTCAGAAACCTCCATATTGTGTATTTGGAAAGAGTTCAAAATGAGTGTAACCCTACCTCTATGGGTCACTAAAAATGTCTTGTTGGGATGAAATTTAGTGACATCGAATCGCTGGAAACTTCCTGCTGAAGATGTCCAGGATATTCTTTTCAAAATGGTCCCATTTATGGCAGCAATGAACATTTCCCAAACGAAGCACCAGTTGCTTCAGATTGCCTCAGATTTCCAGCGTTCCCTGAGTTCAGTCCTCAAGCACCAGGAGGTTCCCAGCATGGACGTCCGCATGAAAGAATTCGCACTTCTGTACAGACAAGGCCCAGACCTCATGGTTGGTTTCATCCAATCCTAGGAACATATGATGGTTGTATCAATATCTTTGATAAGATCCTAGAATTGATGTATCTATAGGATAAAGCATGAAGATAATGATAAATCATATTTATTTAATCTATGATCATATCTGTGATGTCTTTTTAATTATGTTTAAGTCTTTAATATGATGGTTTTGCATTGGTCATATGTGCATAAACCATCCTTTGCAAAGGAGAAAATGGTTGTTCCCTTTCTGGTTGGCTGCTTCTCATTGTTGACTCATCCTGGCATGCGGTGCCAGTCGGTTCGGCAAACCAGTGACTACTTCCTGTATGACTTGAGATCTCCTGTTTTGATTGTGCAGAGATGCTCGGACAGTTTGATTTTGGCAAGAAGCAGAAGTACCCAATAAGAAAAGAACCGTTCAAGTACGAGTATAATCGAGTATATACATCATAATTCTCCACATTTATAAGTTTATAAATATTAAAGTGTTCTCCCATTGTTTTGCTTTGCTTAAAGACCCAAATTTATTTCTTGCTCTGTTTTCAGCTCCAGTCTTCACCAGGCGGCATTCAGCGCATTCACCAGGGTCTGTTCCGGGTCACTGCTGTAGCGCCTCGGAAGCAGGAGAGACCCGGACATCTGGTGATGAAAAGCTGCCAAAAAATCCAAAAATGGATGGTGATTTGAAGGAAATATATCCCATGTTATCCAATAATATAGGGATATAACAAACTAACTATCATATTATATGATGGTGTATGGACGGCGTGAAAACCTTCAGATGGTTTCTTGTGTTAAGTTCTTGCAAGTTCGTAGCTTCTTTGACATCAGATGGGTAGATGCTGATTTTGGATTTTGGATCGTTGGGTTTATTGGATGGCTCTCATCTTTGCTATGGTTCTTCAGCAGTTCAACGTCAATCACGCATCAATTTGTATAATTTTGTACATGCATCCAATGGATATGATTCAATCGAGGATGTCTGGTTGGTGGTATACCTACCCCTCTGAAAAATATGAGTTCGTCAGTTGGGATGATGAACTTCCCAATTTGTGGAAAAATAAAAGCCATGTTCCAAACCACCAACCATATATATATATATTCCACTATATATCCACTAGAATAATATGGTATATTCCACAATCTTTAGGTGTTCCTTGATGTTCAACATCAATATATGGATGCTATGATTTTCCTGCGGTTCAGTTTGGACGGTTGACATAGCATTGGACCCAAAAAGCTACACCCAACGTGCTGAATTGGTGAAACTACCAAACAACAACAATCAAAATGACTATATCAAAAAAAACTAATTACATATATATATATATATATATGTATATACATAATATAGCAAAACAAACTTTGATATCCTGCAAGCAACATCCACCATCATTAATTAAGCATCATCGACCTGGTCGTGGCCTGAGGTCCCAGCTTGATGGCATCTAAATCCGTCAGCGGCACTCCACTGAGGCGTTCCATGGTCAAAACCCGCTTGGCCGAGGCATCTGGGAAAGGCTTTGGAGCAACCTTGGTGGATGATATCCCAGATCTGTGTGCCAGCGATTTCTGAAGTCAAGTTCTATTGAACTCCAGGAACGACACACAAAAAACATCATCATCCCGATATTTTTGATGATATCCCCCACGATTTCTTGGGTTTGCTCAAGATGGCCCCACACAATGAACATATCGTCGTTGTAGATTCCGCTCTGGCGCAGTGGATTTTAGGAAAATCAAAAATCACCGGCTCAGCAAATCTGTCTTTAAGTTATCTAACCATAGTATCCCCTGATTGTTCAATATCAGTTCTCTTTAGTTAAACCTATACCCTGAGCAATAAAACATTGCAATGAAAATCCTCTATTGATAGTGGGTTACAGTATACCATTAAAACCTCCATGTAGTTCGGGGATTTCCCAGCAATGTTTGATTGCTGGAGGGTATATACACCATACAATCCCTATTATATCCCTTTTCTAATCATATGAATCATATCCCTATTATATGCCTGTGATGGGAGATATGTTCCTATTATATTCCGTTATATTCCCATTATCAACCATCATTAACCACTATTGTTCCATTCATTTCCATTCATATCTTATCATATTCATATACGTCCCATACATTTCGAGGGATAATCCCCTGTTACATATCCCCTATTTTACATAATTGTTGGCATATCCCATGACTTACCATAGAAAATACGTGAAAAAACATCCGTTGCGTGGCTGCAATCTGGTCCAAGCCGTTGCCGGTGAGGAAGTCGCGATAGACTTCAAGGTTACGTTGCTCCTGATGGGATCACAGGAGGTGTTTCAGTTTTCTGGGGATGGGAAAACTATGGAAAACCTTGGGACCATGGGGACGTTTGGGAAAAAATATGCTATGGAGGTTTCCTAAGTCATAGGGCTACCCCGATTTATCATCCATTGATGGAGTTTCCCTCAATGGATGACTTGGGGGATTTCACTGGGCTAGAGGGATGATGTTTTTTTCCGGATAGTGTGGAAAGATAGAATTGCCATAACTTGGAATGTAAACCTTTCTGGACAACCGCATATCATGCATATGATTGCTTGTCCCTTTGTATCCTCACTGTATCCCCATAAAATGGTTGGTTTCTGTTGGGTTTATATCCCATTCTGTTCCTCGAATCTTCCATCTTTGAACTTAGTTTCCAGCATGCCTTCCCAAGTTTCTCCACATCCTTCGAGGTTCCCACAACTGAGCCCCTCCATGGAAGCAGCCGGTGGGTGACCTCGAAAAAAGTCCCATCGAAAAAAAGTTTCCCACATCTTTCCATAGCTTCTAAGGCTGTTCCCCTCTTTTTCACCATGGTTTTCCCATGGGTTTTTCCATGGGTTTTTCCACATGTTCCCACATTTTATTAAAAATTCTCCACACATTTTCCCAGATTAGTTTCCCACCATTTCCAAGATTTGGTCTTCCTCTGGTTTCACCATGGTTTTCCCATGGTTTTCCCACCTGTTCCCATGGGACCCAGCCCCAAATGTCCATGCGGCCTCCCGGAAGTCCAACTCCCCCAGCATCGACTCCCGGAGATCCGAGGCGATGTCCTGGAGATCTGTGATGACTTTATAGTTAGTGTGTATTCATAACCCATCTATATCTCATATTACTATAACTATATATATAATATATATATATATTATGTATATATTATGTATATATATGTAATACTATATAATATAATACTATATAATAATATATATATATATATTATATTATAATATTATTATATAATATTATTTTAAAAAATAATATGGAAGCCGTAATATTATATCATATTATATCACCGGGGATATCCTTGGTCTATCCAGTCTACCCAAACCATTAAAGCATTCGCATAAAATGGCGCATTCGTGCCCCCAAGAAACTAGGCTGCTTAAGAAGCCAATGGTTTTTGCATGTTTTTGCTGTTTGATGGTCAGCCAAGATGGGATCAGTTTTCCAGAGTGAATGAAACGCTGAATGTAACCAATACGGGACATCCTCCCCAGTGGTTTATTCACTGGTGGTGGATCCGGCTGGGTATGGCGACTGAAGGTGTGCTATCGCCACTGCTGAATCCCAAGCAGGCCAGCTGTACCGCCAGGGACCCCCGGATATTGAGGTCGGGATTGATGAACCTGGCTGGGCTGACAAATTGAAGAGCCAACAAAATCAACAAAAAAACCAGGGCGTTCCAGATAGTCAGCTTGGGATACAATTTAGAAATGTTATGCTTAGTGTTTCATGTTGGACCCACGGTTTATGGTAGATCTATCAACCTAGTTCATGGGGGTCACCAGCAAAACCGGAGGGGCCTACAGTCTTTTCGAAAGGTTTTTAGTCAAAAATCCCATCCTAATACTGGAAGAGTCCCCAGAAACCATGGTGGAATCTAGGGGATTTACCTTCCAGTAAACTAACAGTTTGCTATAGAAAATTGCCCTTTTTATAGTTGAATTATCTATTAAAACATTGTGATTTTCCAGAGCTATGTTAGTTTACCAGAAGATACACATATTTGGGACCATTCAGTCTATTTTTCTTGATATTAGGGCCTAGGGGAATGGGACTACTCCCCCTATTTTATACAAATGCAACCAGCACAAACGGCCTTGTCCGACAGGTGTCCAGTATCACGTGTCAGAGGGAAATCGCCCTTATTCCCCAGCCTGGGGAGAAGAAAATCATCGTAATAAGGATTCCCCTGTATGGGTTTGACTGAAAATAAAATATATACCCAAATCCAATGGTCTATCACCATGTTCCTTACTAAATTGCCACAATTGGGGGTATACCGGTATACCACAGGTTTACCCATGTTGGTTGTATACACCATTATACCCTTATCAAAACATTGATCCCAAGCTTTATTGATTGAAATATCCCCCATGTTCAAACACACCCATATTAGATCCATCTTCATATATAGCAAATCCCAACAAGATAGAGAAGTATGACATCCTACAAAAATAGTCATGAATCTAACCTTTTCTTCTGTGAGGCGCTATCTATTATATCCTGTACGCAGCCTTTTTGACCACTAGTTTTCATCCCAGCCAAATCCTTGCCACTCAGGACGCAACTCCAAGATGCGTGAAGCGAGGTACACCACACCTGGGCTGCGGCCCCCCTTGAGATTGAGATGGATGGGACGACTACCCTAAACATGGAAAGTCCCATGGAAAATCCACCATGAAACATGGGTAAATCACCGAACTCAATGGCCATGTTCAATAGCAAAAGTGTTAGTTTACCAGAGGGTAAGATGTTCCCTATGATGACAATTGGGCACATAACCCCACTTTGAGACGGACCCAATTTTCATGTGGGAAAATCATGTGCCAATCCGCATTTCTAGTAGTAAAATAATGTACCCTCTGTTAAACTAACATAACTATGGAACATCTCCATTTTCAATGGGAAATTCCACTATATAAATGGTCATTTTCAATAGCTATGTTAAATTACCAGAGGGTAAAATAAACCATTGAGACTCAATCCAATCAGTCTGTGGTTCAACTGATTTGGGTATGTCAGAAAATGAGGGATACTTCCATTTACAGTACGGAACATGATGATAAACTATCAACTCTAGGGTTTTTTTTTCCCAACTTTTCACCATCTTCCGCGCCTAGGTCCGTCTTCAAGACATCCTCAATACCTGGCTTCTGCACCTGGCCGTGCCCACGGTGTGGGCAGAAAACCTCCAAAAAGATGCAGGAAAGGTTCGATGTTTTCCACGAGTTCTTTTAGATTTGTTCTCTAAAATTTCACTGGGAATTTATATTAGTTTATGACGTTCTATCTTTTTGGAGATTGCTATGACCTTGTTCCCCGAACATTCAATACCTCCCCGGTAACAAAACCCTGGTAAAGAGTCTCGGACATTACCACACGGCTACCATTCACCCAAAAAGGCCGCTTTGCCATGTCTTCCCTATTAATATCAGCCCATATTTTCAGATGTTTTTTCATTGTTCTACGAATATATGCATACCCATCCTGACAAGAATAGTCAAAACTTTATAGCTATAGGATGTTATAGGTTATATAGATATATAGATTATAGAATTCTTATCACATGTTATAGCTATAATAATCCAAAAGAACTCCCATACCCAGGTCTTTCCCAGCTGTCGGCGCCTTAATGACCACTTCGGTCCCATCCAACAGGCGCCCCGCATGCACTTGCGCGATGGAGGCTGAGGCCTGGGATTTGTTTTTTCGAAGGGATGGATTTTTCACCAACCGTTAGAGTTCCGGGCTTTTTTAGTGGATTTACCCATTGAAAATGGTGATTTTCCATAGTTTTTTGGAACAGTTTACCAGAGGGTATCCATCTGGTTGGTGGTGCAATAAGCATCTTGAAAAATATGTATAATATGAGTTCGTCAATGGGAAGGATGACATCCCATAGATTGTGGAAAATAAAAAATGGTTGAAAGCACGAACCAGTAGTGGAAATCATCTGAGATCTTGTGTTTTTTGTGTAATGTTTTTTTTTGGTAGTGGGATATGAATGGATATGATATGTGAAACCTGGTAAATATGTCACAGCTCATCGACCATCTTATGGAAATATAATGGGGCATGCTATGGTTTTGTCTGAAAACATTTATATTATGGATTTAATTATATTGATATTCATGGCTGTTTGACAGGGAGAAATGCTGCTACAGGAGTCTGCAAGATGTTTACAGAAGAGTTTCCGGGGTTTACCTTTCTCATTCTGTACGACTTCGCTTGGAAGGCAACATTTCTGCTGCAATTGTTGCTCAACTCTGCCATCAACATGTGCCTGAAACAGAACAGCCTCAACTATGATTTCCGCCCTCACGCTCTCTGAGTAGTTTTCAGCTCACGCGACAGGGAAGGTTTCAAGGGTTCTTTCTCTGCTACAAATGTCTTTCTGATCCAACTCAGGTCAGCATCGTTCTATCTGTGTCTTTTCATACCATTTGACGAACAATTTCACATCCCAGCCTTAGCCCAGGGTAGATCAGCGTTTTTCACATCTCGCCAGTCGATGGGACGCGGTTTGGACGGCCTTTTCAGCCATCTAGCTATGAAGCAACGTCAGTGACAGCACACCATGGCTTGGTGATGGACCAACATTCGTTCGAATACTTGGGATGATCTTCCTAGTGATAAGGATCTTAAATCAATATGTGTTTTTTTGATGTTGTTTAAAATCTTTGAAATGTTTTGAAACCACCAACTAGATAAAATGCTCTCAGCTTGGAAAGCAGCGGCAGCCTCACCAAAAAAAGGCCCAGTCGCGAGTCGCGGCTCGCATCGATGCCACGCGTGCTATGCGTGGATTCGCATCTATATGTTTTACTATCTACATCTATCTATGTACAAAATGATAAATCAACAATCTATAATCTATCTGCATTTATCTATGTACAGAATGATAATTCACCATTCTATAATCTATCTACATCTATCTATGTACAGAATGATAACTCATCATTCTATAATCTATCTACATTTATCTATGTACAGAATGATAGTTCACCATTTTATAATCTATCTACATCTATCTATGAACAGAATGATAATTCACCATTCTATAATCTATCTAAATCCATCTATGAACAGAATGATAATTCACCATTCTATAAGCTATCTACATCTATCTATGAACAGAATGATGATTCACCATTCTACAATCTATCTGCATCTATCTATGTACAGAATGATACTTCACCATTCTACAGAATGATAATTCACCATTTTACAACCTATCTACATTTATCTATGTACAGAATGATGATTCACCACTCTACAATCTATCTACATTTATCTACGTACAGAATGATAATTCACCATTCTACAATCTACCTACATTTATCTATGTACAGAATGATAATTCACCATTCTACAATCTATCTAAATCCACCTATGAACAGAATGATAATTCACCATTCTATAAGCTATCTACATCTATCTATGAACAGAATGATCATTCGCCATTCTATAATCTATCTGCATCTATCTATGAACAGAATGATAATTCACCATTCTATAATCTATCTACATATATCTATGTACAAAATGATAACTCACCTATCTACAATCTATCTACATCTATCTATGAACAGAATGATAATTCACCATTCTACAATCTATCTACATTTATCTATGAACAGAATGATACTTCACCATTCTGCAATCTATCTACATTTATCTATGTACAGAATGATAACTCACCATTCTACAATCTATCTATATTTATCTATATACAGAATGATAATTCACCATTCTACAATCTATCTACATTTATCTATATACAGAATGATAATTCACCATTATACAATCTATCTACATTTATCTATGTACAAAATGATAATTCACCATTCTACAATCTATCTACATTTATCTAGGTACAGAATGATATTTCACCCATCTGTAACCTATCTACATCTATCTATGTACAGAATGATACTTCACCATTCTACAATCTATCTACATTTATCTATGAACAGAATGATACTTCACCATTCTACAATCTATCTACATTTATCTATGTACAGAATGATAACTCACCATTCTACAATCTATCTATATTTATCTATATACAGAATGATAATTCACCATTCTACAATCTATCTACATTTATCTATGTACAGAATGATACTTCACCATTCTACAATCTGTCTACATTTATCTATGTACAAAATGATAATTCACCATTCTATAATCTATCTTTACAATATGTCGGAAACTATGTCAGAATGATTTGTCAGGGCGAGGATCACTGGGATCACCTGATTGGTGTGATGCTAAAACATGGATGGTAGCTGTTGGGAGCTGCACAAAATTGGCGGTGACCGGACTAAGAGTGGTTGTAAAGAGCATCCTTCTGTGGTACATTGACACGATGTTTCAGAACCCAGATATACGTATATTAATATACAATATGTTAGTGCACATAAACATATAAAAAGATACATCTACAACTTACATCTATACAATTGTGGTACTGCACCCATTTCTGTGCCATGTGTCATGAGATCCAGCCCTCGTGTGCACAAGCCGCCCATGGAGAGCTCACGACATCCGAGTTCATGTTGTCTTCCAAGTGTCGGCTGTAGTTTCCAGCAATCGGCCAATGGTAAGTCAAATCACCGGAAACCTAAGCCACACATGACAAAGCAGTAGGCTTTGGAGTCAAAATGTTGTAACTGTTCCACAGTTGACGGAAAGCGTTTCCAACGCTTGGAAGTTTTTCCGGTAGGTGAAAAGGGGGGGGTGTTGGGGGGAGCGGTACAAATTTGCAGATTTTGGGGTTCCAAATGGGTGTTGAGGAGGTGCAAAAAACACTGTAAATTACAGTAAAAACTGCTCTTCGGGGGAGAATTACAAGGAGTCAAGTTGCTGCAAAAAGTGTGTTTTACGCGAGCCAAATTTTGTCGTTTTTGTTGTTTCGAGGGAGGTGGACCTAAAACGTGCTATGTGTAAAAAACATTGCAAATACCGTGGAAAACTGGCTTGGAAACATGGTTTCATACAACTTTTGCACTTTGATGTCCTTTCTTCGTTCTACATAGTCCCAAGACGGCGCAACATAGCCCCAAGAATCCCCAAGATAGGCCAACACAGAGCCAAGATGGCCCAACATAGAACCCAGGAACGCCCAACATAGTCCCAAGATGGGCCAACATAGGCCCAAGACGACCCAACAAACCCCAACATAGTCCCAACATAGTCCCAAGATGGTCCAACATAAACCTGAAATAAAGTGAACATAGGCCCGAAGCAACCCCGGGGAGGCAACATGCAACATAGTCCCAAGATAGGCCAAAGACAACCCAACAAAACCCAGCATAGGCCCAAGACAACTCAACAAAACCCAACCTAGTCCCAACATAGTCCCAAGATGGGCCAACATAGACCCAAAATAAAGTGAACATAGACCCAAAGCAACCCAACAGTAGCTGCAACAAATAAGTTTTCACGTGCGTTTGGCTATATTAGTTTTCCTCCTCTAGAAAAGGGGGGAGTAGTGGAGGACGGTGTAGGTGAGTGCGGGGGCCCGGTTTGACGAATGTTTAGCCGCTGCATCCACTTGGTTCAGAGTTCATGCACTCACAGTACGAGCACTAAAGCAACAAACGGAACATACTAGCATATTGCGAGACGCACCGCAAAGAACAGCACCAACAACATCAACAACCTCAACAGCACAGCAACCTCTAAGACAACGAGAACAGAAACAAGAACAACCAGAAGCACAACAAGAACACCAGCAAGAACAAGATTGGCACCAACATAGTCCCAAGATGGGCCAACATAAACCCAAAATAAAGTGAACGTAGGTCCAAAGCAACCCAACAGTAGCACAGTAGCTGCAACAAATAAGTTTTCACGTGCGTTTGGCTATATTAGTTTTCCTCCTGTAGAAAAGGGGGGAGTGGGGGAGGACGGTTTAGGTGAGTGCGGGGGCCCGGTTTGACGAGTGTCAGAGTTCAAACATAAACCCAAAAGAAAGTGAACGTAGGTCCAAAGCAACCCAACAGTAGCACAGTAGCTGCAACAAATAAGTTTTCACGTGCGTTTGGCTATATTAGTTTTCCTCCTCTAGAAAAGGGGGGAGTAGGGGAGGACGGTGTAGGTGAGTGCGGGGGGCCGGTTTGACGAATGTTTGGCCGCTGCATCCACTTGGTTCAGAGTTCATGCACTCACAGTACGAGCACTAAAGCAACAAACAGAACATTGACGGAAAGCGTTTCAAACGCTTGGAAGTTTGCCGGTAGGTGAAAAGGAGGGGGTGGGGGGGGGCGGCACAGATTTGCAGATTTTGGGGTTCCCAAATGGGTGTTGAGGAGGTGCAAAAAACACTGTAAATTACAGTAAAAACTGCTCTTTGGGGAGAATTACAAGGAGTCAAGTTGCTGCAAAAAGTGCGTTTTACGCGAGCCAAATTTTGTCGTTTTTGTTGTTTCGAGGGAGGCGGACCTAAAACGTGCTATGTGTAAAAAACATTGCAAATACCGTGAAAAACTCGCTTGCAAACATGTTTTCATACAACTTTTGCACTTTGTCTTTTCTTCCTTCTACATAGCCCCAAGACGGTGCAACATAGCCCCAAGATAGGCCAACACAGAGCCAAGATGGCTCAACATAGAACCCAGGAACGCCCAACAGAGTCCCAAGATGGGCCAACATAGGCCCAAGACGACCCAACAAAACCCAACATCATA